TGACCTGCCTCATAATATGTCCAATCATTTTCCATTTACGGCACTTTATCTCTTCGCTTAACGGTCTCATATGTGCTCTCTCCAATAGGACCTCAGCCCTCACATGATCTTTCCAACGTATTCTGTAAATTTCAGCGCTTCTACATCACCCGAAATTTTCGTGTTGACACAATGTAGAGTGTTCCATGGTTAAATGAGTTTGTATCTTAAATGGTGTCGTAACAACAGAAATACAATTACTGATCTAACTGAATCACTGTCTAGGATTTCAAAATTATAATACTATACTATTGAACAAGAGTTGTATATTTTAGGCACTGTAGATCCAAATGAGAATAATCTGATTCAATTTATATTCCGTCTTTTCGTATTGCAGAGTTATCTGCTCCTTTGAGCAGGTATTGATTGTTACGTCATTTTCTCAAAAATTTATGACGTTACTCTCACAAACAAATGACGTAACAATCAATAAGACCTGCTCACAAGAGCAGATAACTCTGCAATACGAAAAGACGGAATACACAAACATATAAATCTATGACGATAGGACTGCACAATTAAAATGCTTGAATCGAATAAAATAAATTAGAACATATTCGTCATACAAGTTACTATCTAATAGATGTCTTGATATAGTATACATTTTCGAAAACAATTGAATAAGTCACCATTTTCCTGACAAATTCTTTTATCTGCCACATAGGCATACAAAACAATGACAATCATCTGTTTATCATAATTTAATAATAAAGAGGTGCTGTAAAACTTGTCGTGCTTCATAGACTTCATAAACAGTAACAATAAATAAATAAATAATGGATCAAAGGAACCTGGATGGTGGTCCAGGTTTGATCAGCAACTACTAAACAAACAAATGGAACACTATGCTATAATTATATTTGAAAGACATACAAATACACATTGCAATTCTTGATTGATTGATCGCCAAGAATTCACTGCCAGTAATTACGATGTCCTCACACTTACAGAACAATAGACTTAATGGCCTGACCAATGCTGTTTAACACAGCAATGGGACATTGTGACGAAAAGTCAATTGAATATGGGAAAAAAAATGTAATAATAAATTAGTGCAGCTTCCTATGTAAAACAGCAGTGTTTAAATACAGTATTAAAATCATTCTACAAAGATCAAACGTCCACTACATACTCAACTAACTATCTTATAAACATCAACGTGTACACTCGCAAAATAAAAATATATTGAATCAGTCGGATGATAATTGATCAAAGCAAAATTATCTTGTGAACCAGGAAACACATTTAAACAACGTTTCTTCTCTCATACTATCATCTAATCAATGTCCCCTCCCCAACATGATCTGATTGACCCCCACCACATCATCTAATCAATGTCCCCTCCCCAACATAATCTGATTTACCCCCCCCCCATCATTTAATCAATGTCCCCTCCCCAACATAATCTGAATGACCCCCCCCCCATCATCTAATCAATGTCCCCTCCCCAACAACATCTGATTTACCCTCAACCCATCATCTAATCAATGTCCCCTCCCCAACATAATCTAGCTGATTTACCCTCACCCCATCATCTAATCAATGTCCCCTCCCCAACATAATCTGATTTACCCCCACCCCATCATTTAATCAATGTCCCCTCCCCAACATAATCTGATTGACCCCCACCCCATCATCTAATCAATGTCCCCTCCCCAACATAATCTGATTGACCCCCCACCACATCATTTAATCAATGTTCCCTCCCCAACATAATCTGATTTACCCTCACCCCATCATCTAATCAATGTCCCCTCCCAAACATAATCTGATTGACACCCCCACCCCATCATCTAATCAATGTCCCCTCCCCAACATAATCTAGCTGATTTACCCTCACCCCATCATCTAATCAATGTCCCCCCCCCAACATAATCTGATTGACCCCCACCCCATCATCTAATCAATGTCCCCTCACCAACATCATCTGAATGACCCCCACCACATCATCTAATCAATGTCCCCTCCCCAACATAATCTGATTGACCCCCACCCCATCATCTAATCAATGTCCCCTCCCCAACATAATCTGATTGACACCCACCCCATCATCTAATCAATGTCCCCTCCCCAACATAATCTGATTGACCCCCACCCCATCATCTAATCAATGTCCCCTC